TACGTACCTAAACCAAGACCTGGATAAACTGTAAATAAATAAAAAAAAATTTTTTTATATATATGTTTACAAACTCAATATACACACAATGAACACATACGTTCACACACACACACAAACATAAACACACACGCAATTATACATACATACACACATATATATATATATCTACATATATATCTATATCTAACTCTCTCTCTAAATATATATATATATATATATATATATATATATATATATATATATATATATATATATATATATATATATTAAAACTTTTCCCGCTTTTATAATAAATATAATAAACTGTATCAATCAACCCCAGAATTGAATAAATAGATTTATATATATCTTCCCAAAACTTTGGAACAAAGCTATTAAATAAGCGATATAAAACAATTTTTTAAAAGATTAATAAAAAAAAAATAATAAAAATAAAAAAAAAAAATAAAATTTTAAAAAAAACAATAATAATTTCACCCAAATAAATAAACAAATAAACGACTTCCGGTAAAATAACCGTATATATAAATGGCCGAGAAAAATAAAAACAAAACCCGAGAAAAATAAAAACAAAACCCAGGCCTGACGATTGCATCTAGCATGAAACAGCCTTCGCCTCTAACTGATGACTTAATGTTCATTTTATTATATATATATATATATATATATATATATATATATATATATATATATATTCAATCATATCAGTATAATCCTAGTGCTACCATAACATATAAATATTTTAAATTCTCCCGATGATGGCCAATTTCTCTATTTTTAGTCGAGGATATATATATATATATATATATTTCAATAAAAAATATAAAAAATTAAAATCTTCAGATATACTTTATTTTCGATATATTAATATTCTTTATATTGGATATCTAGCCACACTGATGAGCTGTGAAATAGCGAAACGGTTTTTCCCGTGGATGACAATGTATATATATATATAATTATATATATATATATATATATATATATATATATATATATATATGCTTTTAAAAAATGTTTTCCGTTAAGGTCTTGGGGAGAAAAGTGAATTTGTAAATAGTGATGAACACTGTTGATGATGTGTGCTCTTCGTTAAGATGAATAGAGTTCTCATCATTGTCGTCTTTGTCTAAAAATATTGAATAAACTCACCTTCATGCCATGTGCCAATGGGCAAAATCGTATTGGTAAAATCTTTTTATGGTACCAAATCAGTCAAATTCGATAACAATTTGAGGGCAATTAAATGTCTAGGCATACTGATGAGCTGTGAAAATACCAGAAATATATCTGTGGATGACATATATATATATATATATATACGTGCTCCTATAAAACGTATTTACGTTGAGATCTTCGAAAAGAAAAATGAATTTGCAAACAGTGACTATAACTACTGCTGATGCAAGACTCCTCGTTGAGCCGAATATTGTCCTCTGGACACTGGCGTCATTGTCTAAAAATAAATACGTCTAAATTTCACCTTTATCCCTTTAATGGCTTAGGGTTTATATATATATATATATATATATATATATATATATATATATATATCTGCGGGTCATCTGTGGAGTTAAACTTCAAGATAGGACAACTAATTTAGACCTGTTTAACAGGTGTAATATTGGAGGAATAGAGACTTTTCTCAAACAGTCTCAGTTACGGTGGAGTGGTCAAGTCTTGAGAATGTCTGATGACAGAATATCAAAGATCCTAATGTACAGCCAGTTGGATCAGGGCTACAGGAATGTAGGACGCCCATGGCTTAGATACAAGGACAAGATAAAGAGCAACTTGTAAGCTGTCAGTATACCTCATATCACTTTCGAGTGCTTAGCTTTGGGACGGGTAGAATGGAGATCAACGTGTTTTAGTGGACCCAACAGTTTGTTCTATCTGCTAAATATTTAATAGACTTCAAGAATCAAATGATATAAGATCTAAAAAATTCAGCCAATCTAACAGTGATCTTATCTCACAATCCTCACTATTTTTCCATATGGGGCCTCCTTTGTAAATCACTAGCGGGTCTTAAATGCCACTTAAGATTATCGCACAAAATTTCATAACTGAATCAAATAAGCTGTCAGATCCTCATACGTCGAAACCGACGGGAGAGAACCCATATTATATATATATATATATATATATATATATATATATCCTGAGATAGAGATAGATATTTATTTTAATATATAATTTTGTTTATAAAATATATATATATATATATATATATATATATATATATATATATATATATATATATAATAATAAATGAAAAAAAACCTTTTAATTTTTTTTTCCAATTATAATTTATTTCATGAATATTTTTATATTTATCTCTTCAGACAGAAATATCTTTTTAAAAAATATTCTCATATAAATGCTTTTTTTTATAATAATCTATCTGTAATGACCAAATATATATATATATATATATATATATATATATATATATATATATATATATATATATATATATATACTAGCAGTAGAGCCGAAGCGTTGCCCGGGGATGTAACAGTAAGAGATAGATCAAATATCGACCATCATAAAGACTGAAAAATAAAATTGACAAAGATTATTGTTTAAGGTTGACGGACATGCATGTCTTAATTAGTTTTTTTTTTTTTTTTTTTTATTTTTTACGAATTGGTCAAACCCAAACTCAAACAAAAACATTGTTTTCAATCGTTATGAGTCTATCGATTGAATAGAATTTTATTATAAACAATTGTCTTGTAAATGAAATTTTTAAAGCATTCTGAATGTATAAATGAAGAAAAAAGTGTGCAAAACAATAAGAAACACTACCTGCCAAGAAAAAGTGAAGTTTGTTGAAATCGGTTGAAAAATGTAGGAAATCCGATCCCATATATAAATGAACACACACACACACACACACAAAACCTGGGTTTTTATAATAAGTATAACTCGATATGAGTTGTCCCCCTTTCATTCTGGCGATGCCTCTTAATCGTGTTTTCAAATTGATTTCGTGCAAAAACAATTGTATTTTTCTAATTTTTGGCACCGTCAGAACCACCGCAAGGTAATTTTACGTAGTCCTGTGAAGTTTTGTTGAAATCGGTTGAAAAATGTAGGAAATCCGATCCAATATATAAACGTACAGACACACACACACACACACACACACACACAACCTGGGTTTTATAATAAGTATGATATATATATATATATATATATATATATATATAACATTGCCTAATGACCTAGCATATTATGTAACTATTGTGTTTTGCAGGCTTTCAAATTACTATATTTGCTTGACGATGGGAATATAGTTTTATCTATAGCATGACTGTATTCCGCAACTGATCTAAGCTGCCAATGTTGAGATTTCGTAAATAACTCATGATACCTGAATGTGCATACCTGTAAAAAACTCATAATAATTGGATGTGTATATCTGTAAATAACTCATAATAAATGGATGTGCATACCTGTAAATAACTCATAATAATTGGATGTGTATACCTGTAAATAACTCATAATAAATTGATGTGAATACCTGGATGTAATATTTAACATGCTGGAGAGTACATTCTCTTTAATAAGTCTCTGAAATGTGCAGGCCGGTAGACATAATTTATACTGCTTGAAATGAACAGATAAACAGCGCGTTTCAAGCGCATGTTTTCATTAATGTTGGATTAAAAATAAAATCCATTAATCCATTAAACCCTTAATCCATTAAGCTCTTAGAAATTACTCTTAGATACAAAAATAAATACATCAACACGCATGTCCTTTTGAGAAGATCTTCAAGGTTAAGATGGGGTCTCAAGCTATGAATGGCAACCTTCCTACAGATGATGGCCCAACAAAAATATTCGCTGTACTGTGAGTGCCTGAGTTGGGAAAAGTAAAATAGTGGAAAGTAAAATATATGAATGTTACCGTCTATATTTCTGAGATGAGGTATTATGTGCACTATTTACATTATTCGGACTATTGTCCTCATCTTTGTCGCCATATTTATTACGTTTCGACATTTCAGTATCTGTCTAAATTTCTGAGATGAGGTATTATGTACACTATTTACATTATTCGGACTAAATCCTCATCTTTGTCGCCATATTTATTACAACGTTTCGGCCCTTCAGTGTCTGTCTATAAACTGAGATGAAAGATTATGTTAACTATTTCCATTATTCGGACTGTTGTCCTCATCTTTGTCGAATATTTATTACAAAAATTCGGCCCTTTAGTAAATGTCTATATTTCTGAGATGAGGTATTATGTACACTATTTAATAAATTATTCGGACTATTGTCCTCATCTTTATCGCCATATCTATTATTTAGATTTTGAATACAGTGGATAAAGGCGTTAGTTAGATCCAGTGACAGGACCCAAAGAGTGTGAGTTCAATAAAGTGGTTAAGACAGTGGAGAACTTGGAGATATTATTAACAGGAGATAACTGATGACTGACATCCATTAAACATGGCACGTGGAACTAGAACAGTCTACCCCAGTGAACGAAATAAAGGGTTCAGTTCGACATTCCAACCACCTGAAGAAGGCCGGTGCGTACAACCGCCGAAACGTTGTAATAAATATGGCGACAATAGTCCGAATAAATTAAATAGTGTAGATGAATGTAAAGTTCAAATGTTTGAGGCAATCCTAGGCATTTTTCTTAAGTTCGCCCCAAAATTAGATATAAGAGAACATTATTATGCATGTTTTAAAAAAAAGGGAGACATGTTTTTTTTATTAGAAATTTTATTATGGCAAAAAGGTAAAAAAATCCTCGACAAAATACCCTCCTTTATCTTTTGATTGCTGCTGCACAAGTTTTTAACATTCGTTGCAAAAGTTTACTCAAACTATAAGTTTGATTATTGACTGTTTTTTGTTTTTGACTCTTCTATCAAGTTCAAGCCAAAACTTTTGAACTATAGTGTAGACAAATGATAGACTTTTACCTAAAGACTGTGGACATATACAGTTGGAAAGACATGAAGAGACTAAGATAAGAACAGGCCGAGACAGACAGATAGATAGATAGATAGATAGATAGATAGATAGATAGATAGATAGATAGATAGATAGATAGATAATGAACAGACTCTGATAGATAGATAGATAGATAGATAGATAGATAGATAGATAGATAGATAGATAGATAGAGATAGAAATAGATAGGTAGATATATAAATAGATAGATAGATAATGAACAGACTCTGATAGATAATAGATAGATAGATAAATAGATTTTGATAGATAGATAGATAGATAGATAGATTTATATGAACATACTGAGATAGATAGATAGATAGATAATGAACATACTTAGAAATATATATATATATAGAAGATAGATAGATAGATAGATAGATAGATAGATAGATAGATATGATAATACTGAATAGATAGATAGATAGATAGATAGATAG